GTCATACTTTAGAGTTAGACATGTAACTTGCAGCACAAATATTTTGAGATTATTGAGCTTTTGAAGCAGCTAAAATAGTTATAAGCCTTGAACAATAATTAAATAAATAAATAGTAATTATTCATTCGATGTCTTTGATCAAGATGCCTGATGTACACAATGGTAGATTGGCTCTTACCCTTTATCTCCTTATCTCTATAAATCAATGCATTATTTAGGGGCGCATACAGGGGGGGGGCCGGAAGGACCTTCGTACCACGCTGACAGATTCAGGGGGGAGGCGTAGCCCCCCCTGAGATTTCAGAATAGCTTCTCAACAGCACTTAAGGGAAAGAAAACCTAGTGCAAAACAGCAAAGTCAAAAACATTTCCCCTTCACCGCGCTTTTTTGTTCCTAAATCTGGATTTTTTTGTTCCGAAATAAATCTGTATCCTGTATCCGCCCTTGGCATTATTTAATTATGATCTTGCAGTTTCTAATAAACTATACAGTGTAAATGCACCTAAAGATGCATTTGCACTTTTCAGATTCAATGCATCTACCTGATCACGTGGCAGAGGGAGGGATGGAGATACGGCGATGAACCCATTATGTTGCTTTTGTAAAACAGAATTATCCGCACATAATGAGACGTCAGACGACTGTGCGGAATTCATTTTTGTATTTAAAGTTTGAAGCCGTCGTAAATAGCGGAAGGTATTCATGTTTCAGTACACTAACGACAGTTTCAAACTTAGAGGAACGTGAAGTAAGAAGTAATTTCAAATATCATTTCACAAGGGTATCTTATAAACCTCTATCAAAATCAAACGTTTAGAAAAAATATACTTTAGAAAAATATCATTCTTAAACAATTTGAAAAAAATAAAGCTATTTACCATTAACTAATTGATATTACAGTATAATGTTTCTTCATGAATCGTTAAACATCCCTGACATATGCTGTGACAAAAAAGATTAAAGGAATTTTGAACGATAAATTCCTAAATATTTATGTTAAAGAGACTGAAAGCATAATTTCAAGTTACCCTTAATTAAAAGATAACAATGCCCAATTCACAACAGTACCCTTGAAACCTATATCTGATCAGTATTGTGGAAGATATTGCCGTTTTTCTAGGTTTTAAATTAAGTCATTTAGTATTATAATTTCTATATTTTTTACTGCAGTAGAAATGTGAAATTAACCTTTGTTAAAAAACCACAATTAATGAAAATATAAACATTATAAACATTGATATCTAATGCATCTTTAATCAGACAACACTATTAAGGGTCCATTGTGAATCGGGTTTTGTCATCTTTCCATTAAGGGTCATTTAATTACGCTAGCAGTCCCTTTATGCACACAAATTCTAAGCTGGAATAATGTGACATCATACAGTGATAAACAGAAAACTTTGGAATTGGAAGACGACTTTAATAATAAAGTTATAAATTTAAAAAGTCCAATGAGCGCAAAACACAGCATTTTGGGCAGTGTAAACAGACCCATTTTACTAAATTAGTGATTTAATAAGTGTCAAGCAAAATTATTTTCTTTGTAACAACATCAAATACACTAAAGTATTGCTGTAATGTCGTCTTCCCATTCCATTGTTTTCTGGTTATCATTGCATTGACGGATTATCCTAAAAGAATGAGACTTCCAAAGGACGACCAAAGGACAATTTTATTTTAAGCCTTGAACCCACAAATGATAAGAAAAAAAATTTACGAAATTTGCTATTATTTTAAAAATGTTTTTTTCTTTCATTAGGTTTTTTTTTATTCGCTTTGTTAACGTTTTACAAATTAAACGTTTTTTATTTGTTAACAATTTGAAAATTTAAGGGTTTTCAGTATTCAAAAAAAGATGGGTTCGGAAAAAATGTAGTGAGCCCCCAAATTGATATTTATGGGTTCTAGGCCATAACCTCCCTCACCCCCCCCCCCTCACCATGCAGAAGATTTTATTACTTAGATAGCACTCCCGTGAAAAAGTAGCCTGTGGCGATCATAAAGTGTGATTAGGCAAACTGACGACATTTGTTTTAGCTTATACATTAAAGTTTATTGGTTAATTTAAACAAAAAAAAACTTTTTTTTTCATCTAGATACATAACCCTGGGAGCAAATTCCAGAACCTTGGGAGTAAATTCAACTACCCTGGGAGTAGATTCCAAAACTTGGGAGTAAATTCCAAAACCGTGGGAGTAAATTCCACAACCCTGGGAGTAAATTCCAAAACCCTGGGAGTAAATTCCAAAACCGTGGGAGTAAATTCCACAACCCTGGGAGTAAATTCCAAAACCCTGGGAGTAAATTCCAAAACCCTGAGAGCACCCAACCCTCCCTCCTTCAGTAGAAATATTATTTTTGAGCTAAAAGGAGTAATGAATTTCGTTTGAAAATGATTTTGCAGTTTCTTTTAAAATACAAAGTAAAGAGTAAAGACGCACTTGCAATTCTTATATAAAATGCATAGCTTAGTACTCTTTAACCATATTTTCATACACCAGAGAGGGAGGGATGGGTGACCATGGAGCCATCATATATAATTCTCTACGTAGTTAGCGATAATTGTTGCTTGCTTCTTAATTACAGTTTGGAACCATATCATTATTCACAAGGCTCCTATTTTTACAGGATCTGAACCGGTATAAGGATTTACCGGCCTATAGTGTTCTGGTATACCTTCAATCGTACCAACCAGTCTAGACTATCCAGTGTAAAGTCGAACCATGGCACGTTTTATTTATCAAATGGAAAGATCTAGGTGCTTTTTGTTCCTGAATAAGTTATTAAGTCTTTCACTTAAATCAATGTCGTTGAAAAATTTAAAAATAGTAAAAACAAGGTTATAAAAGTTGTGACTAGAAAACAGTTAAAAATTACAAATTACAACATCTTCTTAGCTAAATTTGTTTATAAAGACGACTATAAAACTCCACAGTTATCATCGAATAAATACAGAGTATTTATCTTTTTATTCTGTGTATGTAACGTGCGAGACATTATGTGGACCAAAAATCCTTCATTGACAAACGTCATTAGCTGTTAGCATGGACCTTACATAAACGAGAAACGTACCCTGTACTGCGAAAAAAACGTCACAGAAATTGAAAAACAAATAACCTAAATAACTTATATTTCATTGTGAAATTACCAGAGTTGAAAAAGGAGAGGGTTCAAATAATTTTGTAAAATTATTAGAGGCAAGTAAAATCCAGAACCTTGGGATCATCCTTCAGTAGTAATGCATTATTTTGCATTACAGTTGCAGCTCATGGATAAAATTTCATACTTTTCAGTTGAAAGCGCAAAATTAAAAATGGATTATTTCCGAAAAAGTATAAATGCATTTCTTTTGCAAGATATCTATTTTAAGTTTAAACTTGAGCTCGTGGATAAAGTTTCGTAATTTTCAAAATAAAACGCAGTAAACTATTGAATAAAAAATAGGGTGTATTTTAGACAACTTTTTGTTGTTGCTCTTTTTGTGAAAGTAATTGAAAAAAATCTTTTGTTATTAGATAATTGCTTCTTTTCGTCAATGAAAGCATTTGTTGTTTCCCGCTGATTAACATTACTATGACTATTACGACATTTCAGAAATTTACAAATGTTTTTTTTGTGAATGGAAAATTTTGCAAATTTAAAGAACTTAGATCTGAACTTTTATGTTGAGCATTATATAAATCTGAAACGCTCGATCTTGATACAGAATGTGGGTTTTTTTAATTTATGCAGGGCATGAAGTATGTGTGGAAATTGATAAACTTGACCTCGATATCCAATGTGTTCACTGTTAAATTTGAGGATCATTGGCTATCCGGGATATTAAAAAGGATTAAAAATAGTTTGCAGATCTTCATAAAATAGAGATAAATTCTTGATCTGGATATCTGAGTTCTGAGCTTTAAATCTATTTATTTATTTATTTATTATTATTCAGCTAATTCTACATAGTATCCAGATCAATTATTGATCTGGATATCCACAATTCTAGAGTTCCGATTTATAAATCTATTAAGGTCTAAATATTCTATTAGAATTATTTTTAATGTACCTAGAGATACGCATAGGTACTTGATTGAAAGTATTTCACAATGTTTACATGTAAAAACTATGTTAGCTAGCAGATGTGTGTCTTTCTATGAGACTATTGAAGCAAGTTCTAAGCTTTGCATTCGATTTCTTTCTAATTTATGTAAAAATGACCTTAACACAGTTCTTGGCAGAAATTTATTTCCTATTGCAAATGATTGTTCTGTAAATCCTGAAATGAAATATTTAGATGTCACATTGGAACATGCGTGGAAAGTTCCGGTTTTACAAGAACTTTTAAATACAAGAATGAATAATCTTAATGTTGAAGGATTCGATGATTACGTAATAACTTAAATGATAAATATGTTATGTAATGAGTAATTATCAATGTTGTCTATTTGCTCATAATTTTGCATATTATACTCTTTTCTTTTGGAAACCTGTATTTTAAAAACTTTATTTAAACAAATTTTAACTACACCATTTATATATGTATTTATATCTTTGTGTATGAATAAATCTTTATATAATATATATATATATATATATATATATATAGAGAATAAAGATTGATCTCTGTATCCACAATTTAAGAGTTCCGACCGCTAAATCTATTTATTTATTTATCATTATTATTTATTCCCAAAAGTATTTTCCAAAGGGCGACTTCCCAAATGTGCAATTTCCCAAGCGGCAAATTCAAAAAGGTTAGGCTAGTCGTTCTAAGGCAACGCAGGCTGCAATGGGGGCCTAGCGCTGCGTCTTGAATGGGCTATGGGGCCGAGCACCGTGGCTGGCCGTTGGACCAGGCTAGGGACCGAGTGCTGTGGCTAGAACAGACTGGGAAAGCTGCCGCTTAGGAATTTGCACCTCTGGGAAGTTGCCACCCGGGAAAATACCATTGGGAAGTTGCCGCTTGGGAAAATGCATTTGGGAAAGTTCCTAACATCAAACGATGTATACAATCACTAAAGTATACTTTTATTGATAAATATTTATAACTGGTATTCCATTCTTAACAAAGAGATCGTTCACTAAATCATAATCTCCTTGGCTGCCGTCCTTATATTGGATTGTGGTTGTCACCTAAATAGAACACTTTAAGGGTTGGTAATTTAACTTCGTGACTTCTAGAGTGGCATTTCCGATTGAAAAGGGTACCCTGTAGTCTTTAGTCTCCCAGTATATGAAAGTGCACTTGAAATCAGAGATGAGATTTTAAAAGCTTAAACCCGACAAAAACCCAACAACCCCTTTATTATTTCCTGTAAAGATAAATTGGAAAAAATCAAATTTGGTTTTGAATATGGTTTAAAAGCCAAAAAGGAAAAAAGCCCAATACGCTATTAGTATTCACATTGAAACCAGAAGAAGGATTTAAAGTTTAAAAAAAATATTTATTAAATTGGTAAAACATAGTTCGAAAGTAAAGACCAAGGAATATGAAATATAAGGGAGATGGAAATGATCCGGCCCGCCATACCATATGCAGACGGTACTCCATTTGAAAAAGAGTTTTTAGGTCGTCTTTTAATTTTTTAAATGTTGTTTTAGCTTTACCATATTTAATAAAACCGATAATACAATATAAAAAATACGTTTGTTTTGCCAGTATTTTTGCATACCAAAATTTTTTTTTTGATGGCCATTATTCAGTCTAAATTTTTCCTTGTTTAATGTATACAATAACCTATTATGAATACATGTACGCGGTATTTGTCATCAGACAAATATTTCTTATTCAAATGGAGTACCGTCTGTACTGCATGTATAATCATATGGTAGGGCCGGCCGCGTCAGTTATATCTCCCTTATATTCCATACTCCCTTGTAAATACTAATTGAAAAATAGACATAAACATTTAAGAATATCCGATAAGCGAGACTTTTAAAAGTTTCCTTCAATGAATTCGAATGGCAAATAAAATAGTTTGGTAAGATTTATTTAACAAGTTTATAGTTATCATGAGAATCTTATACTTTGAGGGTAACTCTTCAGGTTAGTTCTCTTAAATCCAGGGTGTCCCACGAACCATGACAGTTTGTGAATAGTTTGTAAGATATCAAAGACTTTTTGAAGTTAATTTCGTTAAACAAATCTTTCTCTCAAAAATATTTTACTTTCAAATCAATTTTACTTTAATATGTCTACCTTATAATATTTTTTATTAGCTCTTTAGTATCTTAAACAACTTAACACATTATGGAAGAAGACATTTTAAACTATTCACCATCTGTAATGTTTCGTGGGACACTCTGTATGTAAAATAAAATTATTTTGTGTAAGAACGACGACATTTATTTATTCCTCTGAAGTACCTGATGCCCCCATTGTAGATACTGATATCCAACAGACTTCATGTATTCAATAATATCATCCCTAGAACCCTCACTTCTCAACCCTTTACATAGATACAGTGAGACCCATATTTTTAATAGTCCAAAGCTGATGAAACAGCAATTGTGCAGTCCGTTAATTTTAAATACGAAACATGACAGTTTGTAAATAGTTTTCATTGTATTCTTCCATAATACTGTATTAGATATTTAAGACTTTTTGTAATTATTTCGTTGAACAAATCTTTTACTCAAATATGTTTATGTTTGAAATCAATTTTACTATAATATTACTGCCATATAGTATTTCTTATCATCATGTTTGGTATCAAACAACTTAAAAAATCATGGAAGAAGACATTTTATACTATTCACCGAGTGTCATGTTTCGTGGCACACCCTGTAGAAAAAACTCTTTTTTTTAGGATTTTTGAAATTTTTAAAATCAAATGATGGTTTTTCACGGTATTCTCGTTATTCCCATGTTTATTTAATGCATAATAAAGCTCAATGCTGATATATATATATATATATATATGTATATGTAAATGCTAGCTCTCTAGCTGGGAAAACAGCTAACATTTTTTTAGAGAACCCATGGATTTCCCGGGGGTAACATGTGCTAAAAAATTAGATTTTTTTTCAAGATTTAATTTTCTTTTCTAACTTTTTCCAGCATTTTTTGCTGTTTAAATGGAATCTAAATAATCCTCTAAGGTAATCATAGCTATATGTAATATTTTTAATAATTTTGAAATAAATTACATTAATTTACCCGCAAAATGTGTTTCTACGCTGAGCACCTGAATATCAACCTAAAACAAGAGAAAAATTATTAATCGGATAGCAATGCCCGATTTTGCGCAGATGGCAATGTCCGATTTTGCACAGATGGCAATGCCCCATTTTGCACAGATGGCAATGCCCGATTTTGTACAGATGGAAATGCCCGATTTTGCGCAGATGGCAATGCCCCATTTTGCGCAGATGGCAATGCCCGATTTTGCGCAAATGGCAATTCCTGATTTTGCGCAGATGGCAATGCCCAATTTACCCTTGAAAGCTTTGTCTTATATATAAAGTATGAATAAGATATCCATGTTTTGATTCTTTAAACTCTTTATTTTATCTACGAATTCTCTCCGAAATCGACTTGCGCACTTATGAATTAAGGTTTTGAGTGTATCGTTTAGATCGGGCATTGCCATTTTTGTATGGAGGGTCATTTGGAATTACGCTTACAGTCCCTTTAATATTTTAAGCTATTTTTGTACAATGTTTTATACTTTCGAGGACGTTTAATTGCAAAGATATTAGTTGAGTTAGAATTAAGGTTTCCAACGCAAGTGGATTTTATTGACGCGCAATTGAGAGACCTGCAAACTCCACGCGATTCCGCGCACTGTCGCACAATTCCGCAAAATTGCGCGCAATTCCGCCCTGCTACAACGGAATTCCAATTAGAAACCTTAGTTAGCATTTAAAGAGGCTGGTGACTTAATTTCAAGGAAATTTTATCTAAAAGTAATCAGATCGAAGTTTACACCCTGAGTTCTTTGGGATCTATGAGCCTTTTGATCTAAAAAGAATTCAATCTAAAGTCTTCCGATTTATAGAAAATTGGAACTGAAATATGTAGAAATTTATCTAACAGAGAAAATTAGAACTGAAATATGTGGAAATTGATCTAACATTTATGAAAAAAATGTGATTTTGAATTTGGAGATTCTGATCTAAAATATTTCCGTTCCAACTCCAAGTAATTTAATCAAATTTAATGAATTCTTTTTTTTATAACATGCACACTTGTTGATAGGTTTTCACTTATAATAGACATATGTCATCAATCAAGATCATTAAATTTTTCTAAATCGTTTATTCGAAAAATATTTTTGTCATAATTTATGAAGGATCAATTATACGTTTCTGGAATTATTTTAACAAGTGACAAACATGGTTTATTTGAAATACATTTTTTCCATTCATAAATCTATAGTATACAAGAACCCATAACACATTTGGAAAGGAAAGACTAATGTAAGTTAAGGTTTTCAAAAATGCAATGACCGGTATACATTTTTACTACAGGGTGTCCCACAAAACATGACAATTAATAAATAGTTTAGAATGTCTTTTCCCGTAATTTCTGTAGTTGTTAAATACTAAAGACAATAATAAAAATATTATGTAGGAGTCATATTATAGTAAAATTAACTTCAAAGTATAAAATATATTTTTTAAACTGCAAATAGCCTTTAATATATAATACAGTGTTTGGAAGACGACATTTAAAACTCTTCATCAACTGCAATGTTTTGTATGCAGTAATATCAAATACACAAATAAATGCTTAAAAGGTCGTTTTCTTTTTTCCACAGTTGCTTGGGTCCGATTGCAATAAACCATTCTAAAGCAAATTTGATCTAAAGCTATTTTACAGTTTCGTGCAAATTATTGTGTTCCAATAAGCTTTTGGCAAGAATACTTAAAAAATTAAAGAAAAATATAAAAAAAATGTTTTTACTTTATCCCAAGGAATTGTCTTCAATACTTGAAACTCCCCTCCTTCTATGTCTAAACTAAGAATGTAAATATTATTATTAATTGCGTAAAGAGTGGATTGGAAGTCGTCTTAGTACAATCTTTTCATTAGATTTTAAAAGACAATTTTTCCTTTCTTAACTGATTTTGTATAAAACATATTGCTGGACATTTAGTTCCGTTCGTTTCTGAATACTTTTCATAGGTTTAAAGTTGCAATCTATAAATTGTTAAATGATTACCTGAAATAGTTAACTGTAGGATTACCCATTGCCTGTAGTATTGAGAACAAAGGATAGCATTGAAGACTTAAACCTGTATTCTCAGTTTCATCGTCTACTAGAAGAACACCAGGACGATTTAAACTAAACAGGATATATATACAGTGAAACCCTTAATAAAGAATACATCGGAAGAATTTATCAAATGTCGTCTTGACAATTTTTCAATGAGTTTTATACTATATTACGTAAATTTCAGTATTTGCGAAAATAAATAAATAGCCATAAATATGCGGGAACAGTTTTAAAGAGTTCCATATCATCATTTAATTAAAAAAACTAAATATCTGCAACATTCCATTATCAGAAGATGAAGAATACGACATTTGATGAATTCTTTCGATGTATTCCTTATTAAGGGTTTCACTGTATATAGCACTGTAGTCCTAAACCTATATGCTCAGTTTCATCGTCTACTAGGAGAACTCTTGGACGATTTAAACTAAATACAAATTAAAGGGACTGTGCACTACCTGAATATATAAAAAGGGACTGTGCACTACCTGAATATATGAAAAGGGACTGTTCACTACCTGAATATATAAAAAGGAACTGTTCACTACCTGAATATATAAAAAGGGACTGTGTACTACCTAAATATATGAAAAGGGACTGTTCACTACCTGAATATATATAAAAAGGAACTGTGCACTACCTGAATATATAAAAAGGGACTGTTCACTACCTGAATATATAAAAAGGGACTGTGTACTACCTAAATATATGAAAAGGGACTGTTCACTACCTGAATATATAAAAAGGAACTGTGCACTACCTAAATATATGAAAAGGGACAGTGCACTACCTGAATATATTAAAAAGGGACTGTGCACTACTTGAATATATAAAAAGGGACTGTGAACTTCCTGAATATTTAAAAAGGGACTGTTCACTACCTGAATATGAAAAAGGGACTGTTCACTCCCTGAATATATAAATAAGGGAATGTGCACTTGCGGAATATATATATTATAAGGGACTGTGCACTGCCTGAATATATAAAAAAGAATTGTGACTACCTGAATGGAATGGTGGAAACTCTAGGTAAAGGAGAGAGACAGGTATTGATACTAAACAATTCAAACTTAACAAAACATTTAAAATCCTTATGCTTATTCGTTTGCGTCTATTTGTAGTTGTTTTTTCCATTCCACCAGTCGGGACAAAAGTTTTGAAGGACCTCAAAATATGAAGATTTATAAGTTTTGAAGGACCTCAAAAGATGAAGATTTATAAGATTTAAATGATCTTAAAAGCTGAAGATTTATAAGATTTGAAGGACCTTAAAAGCTGAAGATTTATAAGATTTGAAGGACCTCAAAAGCTGAAGATTTATAAGTTTTGAAGGACCTCAAAAGCTGAAGATTTATAAGATTTGAAGGACCTCAAAGGCTGAAGATTTATAAGATTTGAAGGACCTCAAAATATGAAGATTTAAAAGTTTTGAAGGACCTCAAAAGCTGAAGATTTATAAGATTTGAAGGACCTCAAAAGCTGAAGATTTATAAGATTTGAAGGACCTCAAAAGCTGAAGATTTATAAGATTTGAAGGACCTCAAAATATTTGAAGGACCTCAAAAGCTGAAGATTTATAAGATTTGAAGGACCTCAAAAGCTGAAGATTTATAAGATTTAAAGGACCTCAAAAGCTGAAGATTTATAAGTTTTGAAGGACCTCAAAAGCTGAAGATTTATAAGTTTTAAAGGACCTTAAAAGCTGAAGATTTATAAGATTTGAAGGACCTCAAAAGCTGAAGATTTATAAGTTTTGAAGGACCTCAAAAGATGAAGATTTATAAGATTTAAAGGACCTTAAAAGCTGAAAATTTATAAGATTTGAAGGACCTCAAAATATGAAGATTTATAAGATTTGAAGGACCTCAAAAGCTGAAGATTCATAAGATTTGAAGGACCTCAAAAGCTGAAGATTTATAGTTTTGAAGGACTTCAAAAAATGAAGATTTATAAGTTTTGAAGGACCTCAAAAGCTGAAGATTTATAAGATTTGAAGGACCTCAAAAGCTGAAGATTTATAAGATTTGAAGGACCTCAAAAGCTGAAGATTTATAAGTTTTGAAGGACCTCAAAACATAAAGATTTACAACAGGTTGGAAAAAAATTGCAGCTTACAAATAATATTAAAAATTTTAAATTCATCAGTTAAATAGAAGAACCTTCGAAATCTTTTTTATCTTTTCATATGAAAAAATAATGATTGCGATGATTGTTTGGTTTGGCCACCGAAGAAAATCTTGGTCAAAGACGACCTTGCAGCGGAGTAAGCTCAATTGTTTTTGGTTAATAACTCGAGATGCGTAATCTTTTTAAGTTCCGACAGATTTAATGAACAGAAGACTTTTAATTTATTTTTGACAAATGTAAGTTTCTAATTCCTGGAAACTTTTCTGTTTTTGCTCATTCCCTCCTTGTAATTCCCAGGATGCGGTTCTACTAATAATCCCTGAAATTCAACCAAATTTTAGAATTCTAAAACTCATTTAGAATAAAAGAAATTGTCTAAGTCTTATATCTTTAAGGTACTGTTAGCGTAATTTCAAGCGAACTTCAATGAAAAGATTTACAACGATATACCCTTGAAAGTTTTGTCTGACCAAGTTTAAATTAGAACTCCATGTTTTGTTTTTGAAAACTGTTTAGTTTGATTTGTGATTTCTCTGGAAACGTGACTTGCGCATTTCTTGCTTGCGAGAAAGACTGGAAAAATTAATTTGCGACCTAATGTCGTAGACCTTTAATATTTCAAACTATTCATTTCGTTAAATCAAAAAGTAAAAGTTAAAAAAAAATTAGTTCTACGCCATTGGGTTGCAAAGATAAAAAATAAAAAATTAGATTTTTTCTTTATTTGGAACTTCAAAGCGGGAATGATTTTCACTAAAAAGTTAACCAATTTCTACAGTTTTTAATGGCCATGACTTGCTAAAATGTCGGAAAGTTTATCATTCGTTGCAATTTCTTGTTTTCGATGTTATTGATGTGTTTATATCATTATTTTGATAGATTTTTCATTTTCAAAATTTTGAAATTCAATAGAATAACTTTTAAAATAAGATAAATTTGAATCTAAAATTTGAATTTTTTTTCTTCATTCTAAACATTAGACAGATACCTCAACTTTTTATCAGCCTCGCTAAACGCTAAACGAACAGTAAAAATCTTCAAAAATCTGGAAACTAAACTACTCGAAAAAGAACGAACGATATTTACTAAAATCAAATACCATCCATGACCAATACTTTAGTTTTAGCTGAAAATATATAGAGAAAATCAGAAAAATATTTGACATTCTGAGTGCCATGGGCTTGGATAAAAAGAAAAAATCTTTAAAAAATGGAATGATTTTGTATAGAACGAACAAACGAAACGATCGTAAAACAAACTTTAGGTTTGCATAAAATGAACGCTAGGTTTATGTAAAACAAATGATAGGTATAACGTAAAATGAACAGTAGGTTTACGGAAAATGAGTGGTACAGGTTTACATAAAATGAATTGTAGGTTTACGTCAAACAAATTGTAGGTTTACATAAAATGAATGTTACATTTACGTAAAATGAACGGTAGGTTTCCATAAAATGAACGATAGGTTTACCTAAAATGAGCGGTAGGTTTACGTCAAACGAATGGTGGGTTTACATAAAATGAACGTTGCATTTTTTAGATTTTAAAATGATATCTTTACCTTCCAGCCATGGTTTAACTCAAAATATAAAGAATCAGAGAAGTACTCGAAATTATGGGCTCCAGCTTCAATAAAAAATCCATCTAGTAAAAAGTACAACGAATCATTCAGAATGAAAATGTTATAAATTAATCATCTAAATCCAGTTCTAATACATTAGTGTAAGAATATTGAATATTCATTTCACACTAAAATGATAACCTTTTTTATCAAATTATTATTATCAATATTAATATTATGATTAGGGTTTCCAACGCATAGTGCATTTTACTTGTGCACAATTGCGTGCGCTTTAAGTCCGCACAATTCTGCACAATTCCGTTCTTTTTCGTCGACGAAATTCCGATTGGAAACCCTAATTATGATTTATAACTGGTTCTTTGCTTCATAGTTTGTGTGAGTGCGTTGTGACTTTAAAGGGAGTGTATGCGAAAATTAAAGGGGATATAAGCTTACGGCGAAAAATAAACGCCTGTTGCGCCTTTACGGAGAAAATTGTTAAAAGCGACTCATACTGAAGAACGTAGCGTCCGTACAAAAGTTGCAGCATTGTAAATAATCAATTTAATTCCAAACAAATCATTCAGATATTACAAAAAATAGTCATTGATTATTTTTCGACGCATTTGTACATAGTTAATATTTTATAATATATCACATATATATTATAATATATTTTTTTAAAATAATATTTTGCTGGCGCTGGATTTTCGAACATTCCTGGAAAAGCTGAAAATGTCGTCTTCATTATCAGAAATTCTCGAAACAGGAATAAATGTTTTCAAAAGTAACTCTCAGATCGTGAAAAATGAAAAATATTATGAACTATCAACTAGATACGTATGCGTTGAAAAATTATCAATGATTATTGTTTTTAATATCTGAATGATTCGTTTGAAATTAAATTGATTTGTTTACGATCCGAGTTTAATATTGCAAATTTCTGATTTTGTATGCAGACGCTACGGTATGAGTCGTTTTCAATTTTCTCTTTATAGACACAACAGATAGAGGTAAGATTAGTAGCGATCAAATCGCTTATTTTTTGCCGTAAGCCTATACCCCCCTTTCATTTTTCGCGAACACTCACTTTAAGTGACCCTCCATTTACAACTAAACCATTTCAACCTTTCTTTTTTAAATAAAACAATCAGTTTCAATAAACCCAAACATCTAGTCCATACTTGATTTGATAAAGGTTTTAAGGATACATCAATCTAATCTATCGCTCTATCATTAAAGGGTTTCTTGAAATCACGTTTAAACAGTTTGTTTTTACATTTTAGAATAGCAAAAACAAAATTTTAAGAAAAGAAACCTATAACATATTTTAATTTAGTTGGTTTAAGACATAAAAATATAAAATTTAATTTTAGAGTTTACTTTAATATGAATAATTATTTATTGTTAAATTTGATTAAACTACCTTTAAGTTTACTTTAATATGAATAATTATGTTTTGTTAAATTTGATTAAACTACCTTTAAGTTTACTTTAATATGAATGATTATGTATTGTTAAATTTGATTAAACTACCTTTAAGTTTTCCTTGGAAGACAATTTGATCCACTTCTAAAGGCACTTGTTCAGGATTTCTAAAGGAAAACTTAAAAGTTAGAATTTTTAAAGGATGAAATCACGATTTTTGTAATTATTTTTCACCTAATTCAAATTTTTAATCTATATATCTTAATAACCTGATGTTGTAGCAGTAAAGTATTTCAAACTTTGAATTATGTTTTTCAAAAAGTCTGCGAGTATAACAAACAAATCAGGTTTCAAAGTAAATTAGTTTTGTTTATGAATGTAACAATTGTAAAATTCAAAATCTCTGTTTAAAAAACGCCACCTCGCCCTTTAAGCATGTATTTATTAATTTTTTGGAATGAATAAGTCCACTATTCAAAAAAGTGGTAGCGGAGCGCTCTGAATAATTTATTTTAAAAAAATACTTTAAATGGTATTCAAGAGGCCGAAACAGTCTGTAGTTATCAGTAGAACCGTTCCTCAACAGACTCTCTCTAAAAAGTTATTTTTCAATTCATTTTGTACTTTTCGTGTGGGATTCCTTTCAAATGTTTTTAAATTTTAAAGCTTTTAAAAGCAGACAAATTCTTGAATCATTTATTCGCATCGAAATAAAGTACATTTACAGATCCAACTTCGTGTTTCAAAACAAACGGACTTTAACTAGCAATAAAAAATCGAATTTTGAAGCAAGACAAAAATCGAATTTTTCAGCCAATCGAAATTTTGCGTTGAACGAAAATCGCGAAAATGAACGAAATTAAATACCTGATTATATCTACTAGTTAATTAAATACCTGATTATATCTGCTAGTTGATTAAATACCTGATTATATCTGCTAGTTGGGGACTCTCTTGATCTAAGCAGGAGAGCATTGGAGAATGTACAGTCGAATACCAACCTGTATTCAGAACTGGAAAACAACATGACATTAATAAATTTTTTTTCCCCAACTTGGCACTTCGTATTAAAGTTTATTTATCACGGACTTCCACTTTTTAGTTTCCTATCAAAGGAATTGAGTTTTTGTCACAAACTCAAACTTTACAATCCCTCTATCTTTGCAACCTGATGGTGTAAACAATTTATATTTTATACTTAGACTATTTGATAAAACATAGTTCATTGTCTGAAATATCCAAGGTTTATGACATTGGGTTGCAAAGATATATGACTTTAAAAATCAGAGTTTGTGGCAAAGTTGAAAAAGAACAATAATACCAATCATAAAACAATGTGTATGATCCAAAAGACAGTGGAATTGGATAATTATTTAATATTTATTCAATGTTAAAAAAGTTTTTTTTTAATTGGTTTTAGAATCCACTTATTCAATGAAATAGGTCTAAATATCACTTAAAAAATTCTGTATTCTATGTTCATTGAACTATTTAATTGAAATCAAATTTTAAGTCTATAGCAGTCTTCTTCTACACTCATAGGAGAAGAGTGGCGTTCTCTCCCTTTAAGCTTTTAATTTTAGATAAATGCCCCCTTGTAACTCTGTCTGTAAAAGAAGAAAACATATCTATAATACCTTTTTCGTCATTTTCTTGTTCTTTATTTGCTATCGAAAACTGGAATTCTTAAAGTATAAATAACATTTTGATCAACAAAAGAAAATGTTATGTTTCCGTAAAATAGATAAAAATTACAAATCCTAATTTATTCAAAATAATAACCTCTTTACAGATTTGTAATTTACAGTTTAAAATTTGGTTATTTTTATCATATTTTTATCATATTTTTATCATATTTTTATCATATTTTTATCATGAAAATTATAAAAAGAACTTGCTTCCTTCCATGTTAGCATTTTCGCGGATTCAAAGCAAAGAAAAAGAAAGACTGAACTTTTTATCCAAGGGTTGTGGTGGTAAACTGCAGAAACCAAAGGAAAATAATAAAATGATTAAAATATATTCATTTTTGTATTAACAAAATTCTTTAAAATCGATATAAAATGTCACGAAAAATGGAATTCAGAAATTTCCAATAAAATGGTGAATTTAAATGATTCAAATTTTAGAATTTATAAATTTAAAAACACTAAAAAGTTTGCAAAATTGTTTTTACTTTCCTATGGAATAGAAATATTTTAGAGGATGAGAACTATTACTGTCATCTTTCCAAATTATTATTAATTATTAAATATTATTATTGTTATTACTATTGTTACCTAGGAAGCCCGATATGCCTAAGTTAACATGTTTCTTTTTAACAAATTGGTAAAAAAGATTGTTGTCATTTTTAAAAACACATAATTTAACGGTTTAAAATATATTTACATTTTTTTATTCTTCATGCAATAAGATTCCATCCTTGAATCCTTTATCTGATCAATAATAAAGAAGATATCGTCATTTTTCTAGGTTTAAAAGTGTTTGATTCCTATATATTTTACTAGAAATTAGCTGAAGTGCCCGGCGTTGCCCGTAGAATAAAAAATCTGATTTAAAAAAATTGATTTAAATTTTTTTTTGTAAAAAAAATATACAGCATTTTTTACCCAATGTTACCCCTGTGTTCTCTAAAAAAATCAGCCCATTCGGTCCAGCCGTTTGGCCGCCTATAGGGAACATATATATATGAATGTCTTGTTTTATTATATAGAAATATATACTTTCACTTTTGTAAAGAAACTGCAATTGAAAATGATTAGTTTTAAAATTATAAACATTATAAAAATGTAATTCCAACTTGGCCCTTTAAGTTGAATTAGAACTTCATGGAACAATCAGAAAGCAAATGAACAATTTTTTGTTAATATTAAAAACATTCCTAATTGCATCCTTACATTCAGAGTTATAATCAAGTCTTCCCCTAGAATTATTCACCAGAAATCCGCAAATTAGTACAATATTTTTCATCAACATTTTTCTGAAAAAATCATGACTTGCAAAATCTGTATTAAATGGTAGTTTGTAGCTTTGAATTGTATATTTCAACCCAACGATTGAATAAATTTTAAATACGGGGTAACCCATAAAGGACGAGACCTGAATATAACGATAATTATAGGTAAGTTTTGGTCCTCCTACCTTGGCTAATGCGAAGTCATAAAATTTTGGAAAAAAATTCAAAGTTGCATGCAAACGTAATATAAATATAAAGATTTGAAAAAAAATTTTAGCAGGTGCCTAAAGTAGGGTTTCTACGAAACATAATTATTTTGCGCATCATTTTCGCGTTAATACGAAACCGATTTTGCACAAAATTGCGCATTCATATGCAAGAAATTGTACATTCGGTTGAAATAAAGTTAAATTTACTGCACACGAAATGAAAATGATTACAAAATAATGTAATAAGTTTTTGCCCAAAATTTCGCGATGCTAATGAAAAGGATAATAAAAAATTGCATGATATTATACTGGTGCAAGAATACGAAAGATTGTATTATTTCGACATTTGCAGTAAAAAACAATAGCAGCATTGTATTCAACAACATTTAGTTCTATTACATATGTACAAAACAAAGTGGTATATATGTAGTTTACTATTCAAAGTTTGAACACTGTTAAAATTTTGGTTACTTTCTTTAATTAAATTTTTTATGATAAGCATAGTTTAAAAAGACACTGAAATAAAAAGAAAGTGAACTGGTGTAGCATAGTAGCGTATATCAAACATGCTGATGACAAGCATATTTTTTTCTTTAAAATTTGTGCGCAATAGCTCACACGCATCAATGCGCAATTATTCGAAATTGTGTGCAGTTTATACTCGAAACTAAGAAATTTTTTGAGCAAAAAATGTCAAATAGCAGTCTCATCATTTGAGGGTCGCACGGTATCTATTAGAAAGAAGTTTTTAGGATCAAGATATGCTTTGAATCTTTTTTAAAACTTAAAATCAGTCTTACAAAAAAGGCTGTGTACTGTGTAGTGTGTAGGTGTAAAGAAGGGGTTGTTGTTGTTGTTGTTGTACGGAAAGCCGGTTTTTAGAATAAAAATTAGAACTTATTTTCAAGGATGTTTTTTTTAACATTACATATCTTTCTGGCTATATGCATGTGTTCGCTGATTACTAAATAAAGTTGTTTTTCGAGTAATTTTTGTTGTTCAGAAATGCATTATTAATTAACTGAGTTCTTGCCCCAAACTCTAATTTCTAATCCCTATTTCCTTAACACCTGGTGGTGCAGTAGAAGGTGTATATCATTTGATGCAACTTAGAATATTTGATCTAATTAAGAGAATTAAAAGTTTGAAATATAAAAGGTATACAAGATTGGGTTGCAAACATAGAGTTATTAGAAACATCTGAGTTTGTGGCAATAACTTAGATCCTTAGTCCAGATTTCAATTTATCAACACAAATCTAAATTATCTAAAAAAAAATATCTCCGTTAATCTTGAGAATAATGAACCTGATCATCAAGAAGTCCTTTGTTTATAATCGATAACTAACCTTAACGATTTGTTCCATCTGTTAATCAAGTTACCGTAAATTAATGATTTAGATTTTTTAATGGCATTAATTGTAGATTTTTCGAAAACTCATTAACGGTTAGATAAAACTGTATGTTCGTTAACGATATTTTCCGTTCCTTCTCAAAGTTTCCGTTCATTAACGATCTCAATTTTATTAATGGCGTTAAAAAAAGATATTTAAGAAATAGTTGAAGGTGCCAACTAACAGCTGAACAAATTTGATGGCAACATTCGAAAACATCAAAACACGTAAAAAAATATTAATACTTAAAATTTCTGTCTTAATATCTGTAAGTTTTATGAAAATTTAAATTGGATAATTAACGAAAGCATGTTGTTATATATATTTTAAACACATCTTAGTGTTCTTTTCTATGAACCATGAATTTTTCTTCAAGAACAGCTATTTCACCTCCAGAATATCAAATAACGATCTTTTTGGCAATACGCGTAGCTTTATGTCCCCCCCCCCTAGACAAATTCAAAAAACATCATAAAAATTCATCAAACAGACTTAAATTTTGGGTTTTACTAACCTTATAAAGTCTAAAAATAATTGATTTGCTCGAAAAACTAACTTTAACTTTTTAACTTTAACGTTCACTTAACTCCATCACAGCTAGCCAGTGGCGCAACTAGCACTTTTGTGAGGGGGGGGGGCGAAATTCTATTTTCAAGGGTTTGTGAGAGGGTACAGTGTCCGTGTCAACAAATTTTGAAAATGAAAGAGCTATTTTGAGGGTTTGAATTTTTAATTGTTGCAGGCCTGGCTCAGTGCTCAATATATACCATTTCTTATTTTATCCAATGGCTTGTTCTAGTGTTAAAAACATTTAACGTCCAATAACTGTACTTTTAAATGACCGACATGAGTCAACTCGTTAAATGTTTGTGCGAAGCGGTAAATAATTATGTTCTTCTAATGTCTTTATATGTATTTCTTACTGTATGTTAGTCCCTGGCTTAGTCATATTCACTGTGTGTATTATAAGTCCCTATTGCAGTTTACATCAGATATTTGTAATTCATCTACTATCATCTATAATCCATATATAGTCTTTCTTTAGTCCCTCTGTTCTTGTTTGCCAATAAGGGGTTAACTCTTTTTCTCTTCCTAAAGCCTGCATAAGGCCCAAAAGTCAGATGAAATCCTTATTATTTCTTTAGATTGTTCTAAATTTATATGCAGTTTCTTAAGTCGTAAGTTGTATGAATTGTAATCGCCGTAAAAAGCTATGCTTACATATAGTTTTTTTTTGCGAGAGGATAAATTAAGTATTCTTGATTTTCTTTATGTTGAAAAAGAGGCAATAGTTAGAAACTCTTGTAGCAATTATGCGTGAATCGCCAAAGAAAAATGTTTGTATTTTTTTCTTAATTGGACAAAACTTGATAAAAGATGGTCCATAATCATGAACGTAATACAGTCGAAAGAGGGGGGGGGCGAAATGTGCTCAGGGGGGGGGGGCAAAATCGGAAGATATTGAAAGCTCGAAAAGGCAGACATAGCTCAAAATCATTAAATTCTGTTCCAGTTTCAATAGTTTAATTTTCCGACCGGAGTTGGATCAACATGCTATAAATATAAAGCTGACTGCTGCTAGAATATAAACCTGAGAATGAACAGATATAAAGCTGACTACTGCTAGAATATAAACCTGAGAACGAACAGATATAAAGCTGACTGCTGCTAGAATATAAACCTGAGAACGAACAGAAAACTCCATGTATATGATTTACCTTTGAATGACTTGCAATGCATATGCAACATGTTAAAACTTTAAAAATTTAAGTAATTGTTCATATGCGTAGCGGTATAACATATCTGGGACGTGCTCATGAGTCGGTTCATCTCATAAAGGTTTAAAGAGACTTCACCATAGATTAATAAAGATACAGATAGAACACTATATGTCGTCTTTTTAAGATTTAGGTTTTTTGTTCACAATAACCCTGAGGAAGAAGCCAAAAGGAGATACGCGCACGCCGCATTGAATTACAAGACAGAGAGAGAGCATGCGCGTAGCTCCTTTGGTCTTCTTCCTTAGGGTTATTGTGAACGAAAAACCCCAAAATCTAGTGTTTTATCTGTATTGTTATTAATCTATGGACTGTACAATCCAAAGTTTGGCATACCAGTATATACTATATACCCTTTAAACCTTCTTTGTTTGAGGATGAATCAAATATCCCATATCACACTATACAATGTGCCTGTGAAATACAGGAGGTTTTTTAAACTTGTGTTTTAAGTTTGAATAAAAGATTTTTTTTTCAAATTTTTTAGTTATCATAAATAGTGCCTAATTATGACTAATAGTTGTATATAAAACTTTAAACATTTCTTACGCAGAAAGGAAGATATTTGGAGAAATATTTCTGGAGTAAACTTAGTTTGTTTAATGTTGTAATCTTTGATTTAAACAATATTGTTAACCATTAATTTCAAAACCTCTATAAAATGTCGTCTTACCCCACCAGAATCCTAACCGGCCTACTATCCTAATTTGTCTTGCGTGTTGCTGTTTTCCGTCAACAAATATATTTTTGTTTGAAAAATGTTAAGATTTAAAGAAATGATACAAATTTTCTAGATTTGATTTGAACTACAAAAAAGGTATTGCTTAAATCATTGATTTTAAAAGATTAAAAAAAATCAAATCAAATTCATTTAAAATTGCTTCTTTTCAGTCCCTTTAACAGTTTGTAATTTCATGCTCCCCAACCCCCTCTTAATAAAACAGCATTAAGAAACCGTAAACGCAATTCATCCGTTTCTGGAATGTCATGTCCAATTTACAACAGTATCCGTAATAGTTGGTATAAATTGTAAACTGCAGTGAATCCCATATATATGAATTCATAGCAAGAGTTTTTTATAATGTCGTATTCTCAACATATTTAATATCAAAGGCCGCGGAAACACGAGCAGTGGCGGATATAAGGGGGGTTATTGGGGTTATTTACCCCCCCCTAGAATCCTGGGGGTAAATACCCCCCCCTAGAATCCCGGGGGTAAATACCCCCCCCTAGAATCCTGGGGGTAAATACCCCCCCCTAGAATCCTGGGGGTAATTACCCCTGAACATATATTCAGGCCCTGAATAGCAGGGG